GCTTGGCTCCTTCTCCATCTGCGGAGAGCAGGCAGGGATGCTCCAACCCACGCTGCCGGCTCCGGCATCGGGTTTGTATGAGCTTCATCTGGGCTCTGACAGCTTCCCCCCCATCCCCAGCGGGCAGGAGCCCCTTGCAAATTTTGCCTCCCTGCTGCTCCATGGTGGGGTCTCTGGGGGGTTTCTCATCATGTTCATCCAGGGACCTGGGGTAGAAGAGGGAGTGGGAGGGCGAGGGGGCAGCCCCTGCTCCCTCCACCTTGTTTTCCTTCTCCGGCATGGACGCCCAGCGCGGCTGGGCTCCGAGCTCTGCCTCCTGCCTCGTTAGCGGAGGGAGACCAAGAAATTCCCGGCTGAGGCTGATTGCTGAGTCGGCAGTGCCGTGTGTCCGGGTTGCAGGAGGGGCTGGAGTTAGATAACCAGTAACTGCATCACCCCAGCACCCTGGCAGTGGGGAGGGGAGGAGAGAGAGCAGAGTAACACGCACGTGGTTGAAAGCCTGACATTTTGGAGCCCTTATCTTCGTACTGCCACTGATTCAGCCCGTGAGCTCGGTCAGGTCGTTTCCCCCTGCATGCGTCAGCTCCCCACCTGTGAGCAGAAGATAATCTCCTCGCCTGCTTTGCGGAGAGCGAGGAGGGTCGGTGGCCCTTTGCGGAGCACGGGAGATGTGCAAAGCGTGGTACTAAGGAACCGGGAGGATGGCTCACTCACTCCTGAGCCCAGTCCTTTTGGCCCCTTTTCTGAGGCAGTATTCATGTTTCCTCTTCTGTTTCCTCCCCCATCAGTCATTGATAAGTTTGACTACGTCTTCGCAGAGAATGGCACAGTGCAATACAAGAACGGGCAGCTGGTCTCCAAGCAGGTAGGTCCAGCTCCCCTTGCAGCCATGGCTCTCCTTCCCTGTGCCCTGTGCACCGTGGGGAGCAGCGCCCGGCCCCGGGCGGATGGGCAGCCTTCTCTTCTCCCCAAATGCCAGTTCTCAATGTCCCACTCTTCCAGGACATGTTCTTGGGTGGGCTTCACGGGAGGTCAAGCATCTTCTTCACTCCCCCTTCTCCTCCTGCAGGCTATTCAGGACCACTTGGGGGAAGAGCTGCTGCAGGATCTAATCAACTTCTGTCTCAACTACATGGCGCTGCTGAAGCTGCCCAAGAAACGGTAACAGCCCAAGCCCATGCAAATGGCAGTTATCTCACTGATTTCTAGGGAGCTCTGGGCTGCAGACCTCTCCTAAGGACAGCTGAGCTACTGAGCTTGTCTTGCTCCAGGTTTCATCTTAGAATCATAGAATCATAGAATCATAGAATCATAGCATCTAGAGGCTCTGTGTAGGATCACTGTCCCGCCGAGCTGGGCACTGTGGAGGAGGGTCTTTGTTCTGGAGAGTCTGCACTGTTTTTTAGCATAATGCTTGCTCTTCTGACGCTCGGATTTTCTTCCCTGGGAAGCAGGGTACAGCCACTTGCTGCACCAGGGTACAGCCACTGCGTGCATCTCATTTAGGACAATGGTACCAGCTCGTTACTGGTCAGGGCATCAAGCGTCATTGGTCGTATGAGTTTCCAAACAGACGAACAATGGCTCTTAAGATGGGAGGTCCAGTGCCTGAGCACACAGTTTCGCACTGTCTCTAACCCAGCGTCGCTTGATGCCACTGGTAATAGGGCTGGTCCTGCTCTGCCCCCGACCGTGTGTTCCTGTCTGCTTCCCCCTACGAGACCCAGCAGCCACAGGGTGGGTTGGGCTGGTACAGCTCCTCTGAAGGAAGACTAGGCCACTGCCAGGAAAGAAAAGGGTAGTTTTCCATTGGATCCTGTTATCACAGAAAGGAGAGAGAGGGAACAGATGGCATGAAGGTGGGAGAGCAGGAGGACCTCTTTCAGAGGCAGCCTGCAGTTAAACCAGCCTGGGTGCAGTGTCAAACCACCCCTCAGACCACGGTTTCACAAACGCTTGAAGCCGGCGTGAGCCAGCGGGGCTGTTGAAAGCAGCGGCTCTGCCCTCCCCTCGCCCCGGCTGGTTTGTCCTGCTCTCCCCTTGTGCTTGTACGGTGAAGCCGAGCAGGCAAGCTGTCTGCTCGAAATTAAGCTGGTAGAAGTTGCTAAACTGTGATCCAGATTAGTTGCCTGATGTGAGTCACCATGTGGCAATACGAGGACCGGTGAGAGGGGCCAGGGTGGCTCCTTGCGACAGGACTGCCGGCTGAACATGCCCCCGAAAAGCGTGGGCTGGGACCCAGAACCCTCAAGGCTGTTTGGTTGCCTCATTGCTGTCTGGTTGCCCAACAGCCTGGCGAAGTTTCAGCTCCCAAGTGCCTCTGTGGATTTAGGCTTATGGGATTTCTAGCAAAGCAAGGACTTTAACCCACATCTCCCGAGTCTTGGCCCGGAGCATTAGCCACCAAACCCTTGGTGCTTGCAGAGATGCTGCTCCCAGGCTGCAGGCACGGCTGCCCGTGTGTCCGTTCCCCATGATGTTCTTCACTATGTTATGAGACAGGAGGTGCGGAGTTTTTCCCCCAGACCCAGAGTGGTAAGCACTTTATAACAGAGAAACAGCGGGCAGGGCGGGGAGGGACATCAGAGGGTTAATGAGCTCAGGGCTCCTCAGCTGGACAAGGAAGGGGGATCTCCCTGCTCCAGCTGGGTTTCCACAAGAGTTTCAATCTATTTGCAAACTGGCAGTGCTGCCATCCCCTGTTGTTTCTGCCCCACCAGTGCTGGTACCTGTCTGACCCCTCGGTGAGCTATTCCAAGGTGATAAGTAAACAGATCAGGCTGGATTTATAGCAAAGAGAAAAGAAGGGAGCGGTTTTCTGCCGGCTTAATGCTTTGAACCACCCCACCGAGGAAGTGGCAGAGTAGCGATCCCTGCGCAAGGTGAGGGTGGCAAGCAGGACCTGGGTCCTGTCCGTGCAAGCTTAGAGAAGAGTTGCAGTCAAAGGTGCAGGGGACAAACGGGAGATACAAAGGCCCTGCGAGTCCTACCTGATTTGTGTCCCACAAGAGGTCTTGATTGCTTATCAACCTGCTGCCAGACATCAGCAACGCGTTACACTGACCTGTTCCATCCCGCTGCCCCAAGGTACTGCCAGCTTCACCCAACCCACCCAATGTTTCTTAAAAGCCTCCAGGGGCGGAGATGCCACAGTCTCGTCAGGTGGTTGGTCCATTCCAGGCAATAGCTATCCTTGCAGTTATTACAACATTAGAAAATGTTTCCTATCATCTCACCTAAGCTCTTTGCTTCCAGCCTCTCCCCAGGGCACATAGGAACTGTTTATTCCTCTTCTTTTACAGTCTCTTTTTACAAAACTATGAGCCCCTTGGAAACCTTAAGCAGAATTGTTGATGCTTGGTCTCTGCCCGGTGTGAAGCACCCATGAGTGGGCATGACTTCTCTCCTGCGTGTCCCTGCAGAGACTGGATGTCTCGCTGAGCAGCCAGTCCCCTAGAAAAGTCTGTTTTTCTCTCCCTGCCCTTGCTCAGTAACCTTATGCCCTTGCCCACCCACAGAGGAACCTTCATTGAGTTTCGCAACGGGATGCTGAACATCTCCCCCATCGGACGGAGCTGCACGCCAGAGGAGCGAATCGAGTTCTCCGAGCTGGACAAGGTAGACAGGCCAGACTCGGGCTCACCCTCCCCTTTGCTGGTTTTGCACCACCGCAGATCTTGGGTCTTTACCCGCTTCCCCCCACCCCGAGGAGAAAGGAGCCCAGCTCCAAGCTGTGCACCTGGCCAACACATGCGGCAAGGTGGAGATAGGACTGGGGGTCAGAAAACCCAAGGAGAGACACAGATGAATGGAAGAATTTGACTTCACTGGGGACCACCAATGCAATGGGGTGGCCAGCAGGATTCCTTGTGCTGTGGGAGAGCCCCAGGGAATAAGGCACTTATTTAACAGGGTGTTCCCTCATTTACAGTAACCAAAGATGGCCCAGCAGCTGTCTTCTCTCTCCCATTCTCCCAGAGCTGGAACTAATGGGCTTTCCAGACTGGGAGGGCCATGGCGGATCTGCCGGGCAGATCTCTGGAGAGCTTGGCCCATGCTCACAGCAGTTTCTGCCTGGGGGAGCTTTCTTGCATTTGAGGGATCAGTCAGACTTTGCAAGACTTTTTAAGCAAAGCTGGAGACTTTGGGTTATGAACTGGGCTTCTGGGAAACTGAAGCAGTTGCATTTCATTGGCAAGGAAGGTCTGGGATCTGCTCTTCCCCGCAGCCTGCTGGAGCTGCCCTAAGCTGGTGGCCTTTTACGCAGACACTGGGCAGGACTGGTGAGAGCTGGCTAAACGGTGTTACACTGGGGCTTGGGGCAGGTGGGAAGGGAGCAGAGCAATAAGCCAGAGTTGACCAGCAGACAGCTTACGGTGGATTCTGGTAGACTGTCAACATCTAATTATTCAAACCCTCTTTCCTTCCCTTTCCTCCTTCTCCTCTGCAGAAAGAGCGAATCCGGGAGAAGTTTGTGGCAGCCTTGCAGAGGGAGTTTGCTGGCAAAGGCCTGCGTTTCTCTCGAGGTGAGCGGAGGGGGCTTCCCTGGCTTTGCCTTGGCCAATTTATCGTGTTTCCTATAAAATGCTGGGAAGGAGAGCGGGAATCCCGGCTGTCCCCTCTGGGGGCCTGGAGACCGCGGGAAGAGCACAAGGAGCTTCTAGCCCTGGAGAGCTGCTGCAGGGGCATCACGTTCACATCCGTGGCAGGGCGACAGCAGAGAATAAACCGTGCTGCAGATTTGCCTCCCTGGGAATCAGCCAGGCAGGTGGGTTTCTGTCCCGTGACGTTATCCTTGCCTTAATTTTAGTTAGCTCTGCGGAGCCCACCCCTACCCAGAAGGTCTGTTCTGGCTCAAGCATCAGCAGCAGGGTGGCCAGCAGAGCTCCAGGCACATGCATTGCTCTCTAGGAATGAGACAGGAGCCTCACACATGTCTCGGCTCTGGTGTTTTCTTGGGAGGGTTGGCTACAAGGGAAACAACTTTCTTCCTGGAGGAAGAGCTGCTGAGAGACAAAGAGTTTGCAGCTCCATGCCATGGGCTTTTGCAGGGCCACTTCTTGGGGTGGCTCTTACAGCTTACCAAAGACGAGGAACCGAAGGAGGGGCTTGAGCAATCCTGGGGGTCTGGCCAGGATGGGGAGGAAAATGAGGGTGTGTAAGTGGTGGGGCTGATGCTGGAAGAAGACCCTCCACAGAGCAGATGGGTATGTGTGAGTTAAGAAGGTGCCGTGTGGCAGCCTAGCCAAAGGGCAAAGGGGTGATGAGGCTGGCAGGCGGCAGGTGACACCCTGCTCTTGCACCCAGCTTGGGCCAGTACCGAGGGTCTGGCCCCCTGGTTCTCCAAGGGCTTTCCTCCTGAGAGCCTCCCCTTGCCTTCAGCGTCCTGCCAGGGGCATCCTGCGCTGCCCGCAGCACTGACACACACCGCTTGTCACAGCAGAGAAAGACAAGGTCCCCGCCACCGTGTCCCTGCAGGCACAGGGGACGAGAGCAGAACAACGGGCCCTTCTCCTCTGACTTTGGGAAGCCGCCATGAAGAGCCTGTTGTGCAAAAGCATAAAGACAAGGGGAGCTGCGGGGCCCCCGCTCCTCCACAAAGAGAATGCGGGGTGTCTCAGGTCAGGCATCCAAAACCAGGGACACACAGAAATGGGGCTCTTGTGCCAAACTGGCTCCACGTGCCTTGTCCCAGGCTGTAGAGGACGCAAGCCCCAGAGGTGGTAGGAGATCTCCCTGCAGCCCCCCAGACCCGTGCTCTGCCTAGGCGAGGGACAGTGCTGGCTGTCCTCCACACCATCTCTTCTCCTTTTATTTCCTACCCTCTCCAGCTGGCATCAGGTGCCCCTTCTTGCTGCCCAGCTCTGTTTAAAAGGCCAGAACGCTGCGAAATGTAGCGTTTTTCACAGGTAAATGGCTTTGGATTTTAATGAAGGCAATCAAGTTTAGCTCCTGCTCTGATGCTGGCTCCTGCTGAGAGCCTGGGGGCATCCCCATCCCTGAGCTCACAGGGTACTTGCTCCTGTCCGTATCGCAGTGCCCTGCCCGGGGCATCCTGTCTGGTAGTGGATCCTCTGCCCCGAGCTGGACACACAGGCTTCACCCCCAGCTCCTCAGGATCCAAGGAGGGTTGGTTTGGGATCCCCAAACCAATGGGGACACTTCAACCAGCCAGGGAAGAGAGGAGCACGGCATCAGGATGTACATATTTGATCATCCCGGGGGATCAGCGCCTCTCCTACAGCAGGGACCATCCCCTGAGGGTACGTGTCTACTCAGCCCCTTCCTAGGAGAGGTGGGGTTATGATTTATGAAGAAGGAGAGTGTGAAACTCCAGGATTGCTGGTGGCCCAGTAGATTGCCTGAGAAGCAGGGGGGGGATCCCTTGAAACCAAGAGGAGCAGAGACCTGATCTGGCAGGGAGAGGCACATCCCAGCTCAAATCCCTGTTCCTCCGGGCTCTGAGCGAGACCCAGACATACGTGTGCCTTAAGTTGCTGGCTTTGTTTTGGGAGGAGCGTGTCACCTGTGTCAGCGATGGGGCAAGGGACTGGCTCTGCAGCCTGTGCACGCAATGGGGCAGCTGGAGAGGTCGAGGAAGGTGCTGCCTCTGTGCACCCCCAAAAGACAGCACAGTGCTGGGATAGACTCTGCCTGGTCTAAAAGCAAGGGCTAGGAAGTTCTTTAACCCTTGGTGGCCGTGGGTGTCCATGTGCACGCCTATGCATGCTCTCTGGGAAAGCTCCCTTACCTCTGTACGTTTGCCCCGTCGGCCTTGGTGCCCCTCCAGATGTTGGCAACCTGCACTTGACTCTTGTGGTGAGAGGTGACACGCCAGGGTCGTGCCCCGATGATGTCGACGGGTTCGTTGTACCTCCATGGCAAGGTCCTTGGTCCTTGATCAGCGTGCGGAGCCTGCTCGGGGCCTGCAGCGCAGCCAGCTGGGACCCCTGAGCTGTGCAGTGCATGGGGTTTGCTTTTGTGTGTGCAGGGTGCTGGGAGGCCCCGGTCCCTGTAGGGTTAAGGAGCGTCGGAGCAGTGGTTGTAGAAGGGCCAGCGATGTCCACGCAGGAGCCTAGGAGAGGGAGAGTGATGCCAGTCTCTGAAGGCATTGTCCCCCCCGTTGGGACACAGAACACGCTGATGCTATCTGCAAGGCATGACCCCAAATCTCCCCCAATAGATGCATCTCTT